TATTGAAACGTCATTACATCCTCAAAATATATGTATTTGGGTAGCAGTTTCAAGAAGATGGATAACAGGTTAAATTATTTCCGAAAAATAATAAATGGAGAACGATACTGCAGTATTTTACAACAAGCCCTGGAATTAATGCATGAGGCTGAATTGCAGCATGCGAATTTTTAAAAAGTAGCAGAAACTATAATATATCTTCAGGAATTATGATATGATATATATGATGATAGCTTGATTACTAGGGATTTGTGGCCTACTCGAAGACTTGATCTCACACCTTTAGATTTTTATCCGTTTGGCCATACCAAAAGTAAGATATTAAAACATCTTCTCCACACACTTGAAGAGCTGGAAGCAGCAATTGAACATGAAATAAGTATTATAACACCAACTGTTTGAACTTGAACGTCTTTTTGAATTCATGAAATGCAAAGTAAATTTATGTTTATCTATTATAAATTTAATTAACATAACAAGTTTTTGTTAACTGGGTAAAAAAGTTTGTGTTTATGTTAGCATTGTAAAGTAAATTAATTCACATATAATTTATATTATAAAAAAATTAATAAAACTTTGACACTTTTTATATTTTATTGAAATTATTTTCGTTAAACTCAGAATGAAAGTAGATTACAAAAGGGCCTATATTTTTAAAAGTACAACTTTCTTTAATCAAAAAATATATTTTCAATATGGAATGGGATAAAAACTCAAAATATCTTAGAGATTATTTTGTAAGTAAAAATGTAAAAATTGAGTTTTCTCTATTAAAAAAAGAAACACATTTTGCAGATTATAGTTCAAAGTTTGTAAAGAAATATAATATGTACTCCTCTGGACTTACCTCTGTTTTCAGGGAAGTTTGTGTCAATCATTGCCACAAGTATACGTTTGGTTAATAACAGTCGCGGTCACGTGGGACTCGGGCATTTATGAAGGTACTGCAGTTTACCTGATAGTTATACCATAGACTACAGACAAATCAGATAATTCACCAAGGCAAATTCTGTTGTAAATGTTATTTTTTAAACCACATGCGCGTCGTAGTCATAGATGCTCTACGCGAGAGGTTCCATGTATTACCAGATTTAGCAAAATCGATAACATTCATTCGGTGCAAACTGCATTGAGAATTTTGATACTCTTTTGTTATCCTTGACGCCCGAGGAAACACAAGTATTCAGGAAAGTTATAGAAGGCGTTAATTATAGTAATTATTTCAATCCCTTACAAAAATACCTACTTCAAGGTTGAAAAAGTTTCAAAAAGTGTAATTTTTTTGACAGATAATGTGCACCAAGTTTGGTTTCCTTATTTTGATGTACATGGAAGATAAAACAGGAAAACATTTTTTTTTAATTCTTGAAGACCCCTGTTAATTTTCATCAGAGAATTGCCCCTTACGTTTTTTCGGTGTTATTTAGATGCACCCTGTATATTAAAAAAATAATTATAAAGCAAACGCCAATTGCGTGAAATGGTGTCACAACACCAACATAAAAAATAAAATTTAAAAGAATGAAACGCCTACTTCCACCAGAACAACAATAAAGAAAATGTATCCTTCTGTATTATATTCCATCTGAGCTTAACCTGTTCTTGCCGGGAGAAATTCGTGGTTCTCTCTAATACATAATACATTAGTAATTTTTTTATATTATTCCACATCTGAAGGTCAAACGCTAAATAAAAGACAATTATATCAAACTATACGGATTTTCAACCCTCTTTAGATACACATATTACAACATGGAAGTTAATCCAAAAAAAATTTCGAAAACGCCCGTTACACCCCGAGCACCTCTAGCTTCCCGATTCTCAATTTTCTGTTCTGAAACTGTAGGCCAGTCATTATAGCTTTTTTTCGGGAAAAAAATACTATTAGAAGTTTCTCTGCGGAATATTGTTCCGAAACGTGTTATAAACAAAATATCAAAAAATCAACTCGAGACTAGTTGGGAAACTTTGTTAAAACAATGGTCAAAATTATGGAAAAGTGGTTTTTTGATTCGCGTACAAAAACTGTTATTCATAGAAAAAAAAAGGTTTATACAAAAAAGGTAGGTATTAAATAAATCTGTGGTCGAAAATGTCCGCTTTTTTCAATTGCTAATAATTAATGCAATTTTCATCGCAGACACTTGTAATTCAGGATGTTTGAGGCTTTTTACACCCTCAATAAGTGGTAAAAATTTCAGTCCAAAAGCTTCATTAGCTTGGCGTTGGCGGAATTAATTATCTAAGAAGATGCTATTTTCAATTCATTTTTCCCAAGCTCACAAGCGTTGTAGGGTTTCAATCATTAGTTGTTTTTGTACCTAAATAGTTGTATTAACATATGCATTTACTGATAATTTAATTTTTCAAATTTAATTTGTTTAAAAGTGACTGAAAAAATGTTAATATTTATTAAATTGTTAAGCGCCCATGCTCCGCCTCGCTCTCCCCACTCGTTCGCTAAACCAAGTAATAGAACGCATCGCCGCTATCTTCTTTTTCGCAATTAAATAGTTGAATTCACCTTAATGTTAATGTAGAATATGAAAATATAGCTCTTAATGTATACTCTTTCCAAATTTCGGCTCTTAATATTAATAATTAAGGTCACTGCGATTAAATAAAAAAACATATATCTCAGCTTCTAATCAACTTACAACAACGATTTTTTTTTTAAATTCGAAGAAAATTAAAGTATAGAGGTTACTATTTTATTTTATAATAATTACCTATCTTAACAATTTAATAAATATTAACATTTTTTCAGTCATTTTTAAACAAATTAAATTTGAAAAACTAAATTCTCATTAAATGCATATGTCAATACAACTATTTAGGTACAAAAACAACTAATGATCGAAACTCTACAACGCCTGTGAGCTTGGGAAAATTGAATTGAAAATAGCATCTTCTTAGATAACAAATTCCGCCAACGCCAAACCAATGAAGCTTTCGGGCTGAAATTTTTATCACTTATTAAGGGTGTAAAAAGCTTCAAAAATCCAGAATTACAAGTGTCTACGATGAAAATTGCACTAATTATTAGCAATTGATAAAAACGGCCATTTTCGACCATTTTTGAGTTCTTGCGCATAAGCAAATTATATGAATTTAATCGGATTTGTCTCATTTTAGAGGTTTATTTAATACCTACCTTTTTGTATAAACCTCTTTTCGCTATGAATAATAGATTTTTTACGCGAGTTAAAAACCACTTTTTCATAACTTTGACCATTGTTTAAATAAAGTTTCCCAACTAGTATGGAGTTGATTTTTTGATATTTTATTTATAACACATTTCCGAACAATATTCCTCAGAAAAATTTCTAATAGTATTTTATTCCCAAAACAGGCTGTTCCAGGTCTGTAATGACTGGACTACTGGCACTATTTGTTGGGCGCGGGTGACCACAAAACTAAATTTGGTGACCTCGCTGACGACATCAGCGATCAAAAATTGGTTCTTTCGTAGCGCTTACCACAATTCTCGATCATTGGGCCAAAAATGCGGCGGCAGCACTACCACTGCGCGATCCAGCTCGGGTTGCTCTGGAACCACACTGCTTGCGTCATTTGAACTGGACATTTCAAAATTACCGTTTGACTTACTACACATTTGCACACTACAGAAGTTTTTGCCTAAGTTGTTTATTTCGCGCACTAACATTGGCTTGCATGTACTTCTAGACCGAAACCAATATTTGGTCTCGGATCACGTCATGGCCACCAATTTGTGGGGTAATGGTGCACAATAACACGTTGGATTTAGATTCACGTTGTTGAACTGAATTACTCCAAAAGATTTGTCAAGTGGGCTGTAAAACCACACACTTGTTACTAACTACCAAAATTTTCTTGATCTCCTCTCCACCGGAAATATTACCTGCTACCAGGTAATACATTCCTGGTATTTGGGAAATATTAATGAGCTTTAGGAAAATCCTCATTAGATTATCCAAATGTATTTACACATAATAAGGTCTATAATATAATTAGGTTTAGTATAATGGCATTTATATAGAAATACCAATAATTAGCAATATCTAATAAACTTAAGGATTATCAGTATGCTAGAATTTGGTACAGGATTCAAGAGTGACTTCAATAGAAATGGGTACTTATTGAAAATGACGTAAAAACATTTAAAAAAAAGTTGATTCAGATCATAACAACAAATTTCATGTATCGATTAGATACAAAACACTAAATACTAATTTACGAAACTCATACACAGGGTGTTCCTAAATATCGTGTACATAAGGGAAGGGGTAATTCTTTGGCTTATTTCATACTATAACTAAAAGTTCATATAAACATAGGTCCACGAACGCTTCGTTACCGATCTACAGGGTGTTGAAATGTTAAGATTTTTTTAGTTTTTTCTTTATAGCTCCCACAGCTTTTGAGATATTTAGCGCAAATTTGGAATATAGGTTACGCTGTAGGGCTTACATCATTGAGCATGCCAAATGGCCGTGATATTCTACAGAGTGATATTTTTTCGGGGTTCATGCCCCCTTTTTCTTCCCCTGAACTTAAGTGGTGCGCCGCTGGTAGATTCTAAAATCAAAATTGAATTTTATGTTTTGGTGAGAAACTTTTTTGCCTCTTATGATTTTTTCATATCTGCGACCATTATCGAGAAAAAAAAATAAAACATGATTTTATGTAATTCGTTAGATGAAATTTAAATTCTTAAAATGGTTCAGTAGGCTCTGGCTTTATTTAGATAATTTCTTGTTTCTATTAATTTTGTCAGTTCGCATTTGAAATCGTAACTTTGGTCTGCATATGTTTAAAAATTAAACTGTAAGGTGTAAAAGTGTTTTAAATACTCATTATAATCTCACAATGCCAAATTTTATTAATTTTGAAATGGGTCATCCCAGCTTTAATTTTTAACAGGTAGTGGCGAATAAACTGAACAAAGAATTACCCCCTCTCTTATGTACATGATATTTAGGAACACCTTGTATAAGCTGACATATTTTATATTTCAGGAGCTATAACAATTTCTAAAGAAGGGGACTTGGGGATATATTTTACAAGTAAAAGAATGGCTTGGGCATATCAGAAAGAAGATAATCTTCATTATGGAATAGAACGCAATCAAGATACTACCGAAATTATAAAAAATTCTTCTTAACAGTTGTATGTAATTATCAGCTACAGTAATGCAGCTGTTACATGTAAATATGATATAAATACTATAATAAATGAAATATGGAATATTATTTACGCCTAATAATGCGGAAGGCAGCGACGTTTTAGAGATTGTCATTTAACCACCACTGATTTTCATTTTCACAGTAATTTGTTATGTGTAAATTCATGAAATGCATCCAAAAATTTTTACGCGTGGGAATCGCTCCAGCGCCTACCTCCACCGCTGCGCTGGTACGCCAGCTGATTACCGTTTCCGGAATGAACACAAACAGTGGTTGTTTTTGTGACTAAAATGTGTCGCTGTCTCCCGGAATACAACATACCCTCTATATTTTGTACAATATAACAAATTCTACTTTTTAAATACAGGAACTGCAGGAACATATACATATTTTTTGTCATATCTTCATATTGCGTCCAACGATTTGAATGAAATTTACTACAGCGTATTCCCTTAATTAGACCTTTTTTTGAGTGTAATATTAACCTCGTGGCATTAACCAGTGGCGTGCTACTGAAGGTAACGCTCCGTTTTCCTTAGAAAAAATACGCCACTGGCGATTGTTTGTAGAAATAATATTAAATTCAGATACTGTTACGTTAAACGAATTAAAAGTGTTTCTTGGTGTTTTTTAATAGTAGCACCCGTTTAGGAGATCATTTACTTATTTGCCGACCATAATGCGCAAATTTAGTTCACATACTCATATTTGTTTAAATTCCATCTGCAAAAATTGATTCTATTGACTGCATTATTAGTTAGTAGAATTACGATGATCTCCTTTTAGTATTATAACTATTATTTTATTATTTAGTTTGATGTTTTTTCCAGAAATTAAATTATTTTGCCAATGGCGTATTCTTTTCATGGGAAAAGTTGGCGGACACTTTAGTAATACGTTGCTGGTTAAAACCAGGAGGTTTTCATTAAATAAACAGATTAATTTATTATATTTCAGTCATCCCTAGTTCAGAAACGGCTCCGGCGTTTCCAAGAAGAAAATGTAGAAGTTTTTCTCTCACCAGTTCTATATGTTTTTTGGAGTGCTGAATCTGAATCTGAGGTTTGCCATCTGGCCAGACGTTGGCTTCACAAGGAAAATTGCAAAATAACTCAAATTTTCGGCACTTTTTTCAGTTTTTTAACTATAACTCGAAAATTAAGCGTTTTTTAATTATGACTATGATATACCAAATTAAAGTACACAAAATTTCCTACAAATGCGTATAATAACTCTAAAGTGTAAACAATCCATAAATGTCGTTAGATCGTATTGAAAATGGCATTTCTTGACTTTGCACAAAAAAGTTAAAAACGTTATTCTAACTGAGCGCTGGTGCCCTACTATCAACTTCAAACACCTCTAAAATAAATTGTTTTATGATTACCTGGTATGACCAGGTTACATTTAAGGAATTGTCAAACGTGAGTGAGGTCCATATATCTATACATTGATAAAAGGAAACATATTTGGAATATTTTTGTATTTACACGAAAAAAAAGCAAAAACGCCGTTATTTAATAATTTTCATATTCATGCTTCGTCCCCATCTGCAGAATTATCACCTGAAACAACGAGAATGGAGACTTTAGATAACTATAATAGAATCCATGTCGTTCATCGTTCATGTTCATTATGGACAAAATTTATTATGTCTTTGCACAATAGAGTTTAATATTATTTCTAAAAAAGAAAAAACCGAAAATAAGATGAAGAAAACAATACCTGCATAAGGCTCAGGATTGCGTTCGCACAGATGTTCCGTTTAGATGGACCTGTATATCCAGAGCGACGTAATGTCCCCAACTCCAGAGAAGCTTCTGGCACTCATTGCCTGCAAGGGCGAGAAGGGCTGCAAGGGTAATTGCAGATGCAGAAGGGTTGGGTTATACTGCTCCAGACTCTGAATTGTGAAGGAAGGTGCTCCAATGTAGAAATACTGCTTAAGGGCGCCATATTCTTGAAATAGTGTTTTCCACAAAGACAAATAATTTAAGTAATTTAATAACTGAATAATTTGAAGCTTATCAAATAACGGGAATATTATGTCATGACATCTGTGTATTTTCAAAGACGCCGCAGTAAAACGAATAAACAGGTGCAAAAATCGATCAAACCAGCAAGGTTTTAGGTACTGAAATTTAAGAAAATACCAACTTTTTTATATACAGCGTGTCCTACTAGTGCGGGAAAGTCCAATATCTATGTTAAAATGATGAATATATGGATTTTTCTTTTTACTGTGTTGCCACATTTCTGGGAATGTACAAATTAAAAATACATTCGACTATACAGGATGATCCACTTTTCCTGGCTAGACACCAATTTTGGTTTTTTAAATAGAAACACACATTTTTAATATTTTTTTCGGATTCTACATCAAAAATAAAGGGTACTTTGTGAAGAATAGTTCTATTCAAATATTCACAGTTTTTGAGATATCTCGCTTGAAAGGTTTTTCTAGTCGATATTGGCTGCTTACATTTTCTGATACTGACAGTTTATACTAATAGGTACTAAGCCCATTTTTTTATCAGATGTTTAGTAAGGGTGACTCTTCCGAATCATGCTCCAAAAACTGGCCTGTGTTATACAGGGTGACCAAAATATCATGTCAAAATTGTCAATTGAAGAATTGAAAAATCTCCAATTTTTTGAATGGAACACTCTGTATATTTTCATACCATGAGATGCAGAATTAAGTTTTCTACAAGTTTGCTATACCTGCTCCTATACCAAAATTCATTAGTTTTTCATGAAATCTCATTTCTATGAAAAAATGCGAGTTTACAAATAGCTTATATGTAAATTAACGTAGTAGGTTCCTGTCAAAGGATAATCTGGAAAATTTTCGATTCACATAAGGTTTAATAGAAAAGCGACAGTAATAATTGTGAAATAAATTATACTCTAAAGAAGAATTAGTAAATATGGTGTACACCGTAGGAGAAGCTCATGGTAATTGTTTATTGGCAAGTCGTATTTACCAAGCTAATAATCCAGATTTACAAGGATATCCTCGTACAAAGTGTTTTGTAAAACTGAAGGAGAGGTTTGAAAGAACGGCAAATGCAAATTATGAGAAAACAACAAGCACACACGCATGCAGTAATCAGGATAGTCAAATTGACATTTTGGGATGTGCAGTCCAAAATTCATCTACAAGTGTCAGAGAAATTAGTGATGAAATTAGTATTTCCAAAAGTGCGGTTAATAGAACGTTAAAGAAAAACAAGTTCCACCCTTATCATTCTGAGCATCACCAATTCTTAACACAGCAAGATTATCAGAAGCGAGTACAGTTTTGTCAGTGGGCAACTATAAAGGTACANAAAAATAAAGGGTACTTTGTGTAGAATAGTTCTATTCAAATATTCACAGTTTTTGAGATATCTCGCTTGAAAGGTTTTTCTAGTCGATATTGACTGCTTACATTTTCTGATACTGACAGGTTATACTAATAGCTACTAAGCCCATTTTTTTTTATCAGATGTTTAGTAAGGATGACTCGTCCGAATCATGCTCAAAAAACTGACCTGCGTTATACAGGGTGACCAAAATATCATGTCAAAATTGTCAATTGAAGAATTGAAAAATCTCCAATTTTTTAAATGGAACACCCTGTATATTTTCATACCATGAGATGCAGAATTAAGTTCTCTACAACTCTGCTATACCTGCTCCTATACCAAAATTCATTAGTTTTTCATGAAATCTCATTTCTATGAAAAAATGCGAGTTTACAAATGTAAATTAACGTAGTGGGTTCCTGTCAAAGGATAACCTGGAAAATTTTCGATTCACATAAGGTTTAATAGAAAAGCGACAGTAATAATTGTGAAATGAATTACCCTAAAGAAGAATTAGTAAATATGGTGTACATCGTAGGAGAAGCTCATGGTAATTGTTTATTGGCAAGTCGTATTTACCAAGCTAATAATCCAGATTTACAAGGATATCCTCGTACAAAGTGTTTTGTAAAACTGAAGGAGAGGTTTGAAAGAACGGCAAATGCAAATTATGAGAAAACAACAAGTACACACGCATGCAGTAATCAGGATAGTCAAATTGACATTTTGGGATGTGCAGTCCAAAATTCATCTACAAGTGTCAGAGAAATTAGTGATGAAATTAGTATTTCCAAAAGTGCGGTTAATAGAACGTTAAAGAAAAACAAGTTCCACCCTTATCATTCTGAGCATCACCAATTCTTAACACAGCAAGATTTTCAGAAGCGAGTACAGTTTTGTGAGTGGGCAACTATAAAGCTACAACAAGATGAATTTTTTTTTCAAAGGTGTTATTTACTGACGAGTCATCCTTTGCCAATACTGGTCGAGAGAGTCGACATAATTATCACCATTACGCCGATCATAATCCCAGATTAATAAGACAAGACGATCATCAACACCGCTTTAAAGTCAACGTTTGGGCGGGAATATGCGGAGAATATGTCATTGGACCACATTTTCTTGAAGGAAACTTAACTGGTAATGGGTATTTGCAATTTTTACAAAACGACTTGCTCCAATTGCAGGGACATATTCCTCCGGATGACTTAAACAGTCAGTGGTTCCAACATGATGGTGCCCCTGCACATTCCACACTGGCGGTAAGTTTTCTCATTATGTAAGTTATGTAAATTCATAGAAAAACTGTTTCAGGTTAGAGAATACTTAAATGATTTGTATCCAGATAAGTGGATAGGTAGCCAATTCCATGGCCTCCCCGATCCCCAGACCTGTCTTGTCTTGATTTTTTTTATGGGGCTATATAAAAGACAGGGTGTATGAAACTCCTCCGACAGATGTAGAAGATTTACGGGCAAAGATAAGAAATGCTTTTTTGACCCTAACTCCGGAAATGCTGCGAAATGTGTCAAGCAATTTTCGTCGTAGAATTGCTCAATGTCTATAGAAAAATGGCAGACATTTTGAGCGGTTACCTGTTAATTACTAATTTAACTAGGTCTTTATTACTTTTGTTAGAAATGCACGATGTTAATTTACTGTTTTGGAGACTGCATGCGTGTGTTCTTGTTGTCTTCTCATAATTTGTATTTGCTG